ATCATTGCGCAAAAATAAAGTTGTTTTTTCAGCATCGCACGTGTAATCGACTGAGCTTATCTGAAAGTGTCTGGTTGGACTTTTCGAATACTCCAAGAGACAACAAGACGTTTTCAAACAAAAACAATTTTACTACAGGAACGGAGTAGTCTATTATCTACTCCAACAACAACGTTAAAGGGCGGTCGTCGCGCCACGCATGCGCGAGATATTGGTCTCATATAAACAAAGATGGCGATTTTGACTGTTGCGCACACCAACGAGTACAAACTGAGAGGTTACTTAACTTTAATTTGGTATTTTTTTGGTGATTGGAAGGTATCGAAGGAGTCGCCGGCGGTAATAAGTGTCGCCCAGGGCAAAACTCGTCCTTGTGATTTCATTAGAAAAGCGCACTGGATTGTGGGAAAATCGATGTTTATCAACACAAATGTCGCACATGCCGCCCTTTATCTAACAAGTATTTCGTTTATAACGTCATGTACATCGTTCTGCGCATGCATGCTGCTGCCTCTTTTCCCATGCGTATATGAAGTTGCGGTCGAGATTTTTTGTTCAAACTCCAAAATCGTTAGTCCAACCCGTTTTGGGGAGTAATAATCGGAAGTGATGGCGGGTAAAACAAACAAATAAGGCTTGAAACAAAAGAAACAAAATATATAAATCTGGATTAGAACTCGTTCTCGCTCCTCCCCTTCCATAACTTCCATGCTCAAATTCAATACTGGCACCTATTATATTATGCACAATCCGTACTAATTATCTCAACTATCAAATCGAGTAATTCTCATGATTCGAATAATTATCGTCATATAGCATTGTCTAGTTGTTTATAAGTTTTTACAACGGTATTAAATAGTAGATTGACTAATTATTTATATCATAATGGCCTAGGGGCTGATAATCAATTTGGTTTCAAGTAAACCCATCGCATCATCGATTGTATTTACGCTTTGGAGACTTTAATCTCTAAATATGCCAATAGCAAACTTGAGAATTCAGGTAATTACCTATTTTCTTTGTTCATTGATTTCTTCAAGGTCTTTAATTCAGTTTGAAGTGAAGGCCTGTTATTCGAACTCTTGAAATTAGTGGTTTGGTAAGTTTTGTGATATTGTTAAGGCTATTTACAGCAATACCAAGTATAGTAGTAAATTGAAACAGGGACTCGCATCTTACTTTTTGTCTTACTGTGGTGTGAAAGAAGGATGTAACCTCAGTTCTTGTCTATTTAACACTTATATAAATGGCATTTGTGAAGAAGTGAATGGATTGTATTTGTTATGAATATCTTTTTTTTTTTTTTTATTATTTTAGTCTTGTACTGATGTATTTTTTTTTTGGACATCGTTTTATTTTTGTTTTTAAATAAAAATATCATACCCTACTGAAAGATAATAACAACCCTGGCATGATTTGTTTACCCTGATCTCCTGTTTATTTTGTGTAGTTAGGGCTTGCTACTGAGTATTCTGTGGAGAAACTTGTTATAAATACAATGTATAATGAAAACAAAAAAATATGATTTATAATTCTAGCAACAGACTTTAAAAAAAATAAAACTTCCAATTAGTTAAAAGGACGGTCGTCGTCGCGTCATGACGTAATGTGACGTCACCGAGCATTTGATTAAAGCCTTCCGGACTTTGGATTTAATGATGACATATTTTATTTTTTATGACTTTCGTGGAGAAAAACGTAAAATACGAAAAACATTTGCATATTATATAATTGCAGTCTCAAATACAGTAGAAATTATTTATCAATTATTGTTTATTATCAATATCCTAACGTACCGTAAAAATGACACCGTGAAATGAAATCGTTTAATGGTTGAAGGGTTGAAGGCCGCATATATGATTGACTAATCTTCAAATCAATTTTCATTGCCAGTTTGTGTAGAATGCCCTCAGCGGTATGTGTTTGCCATGACACTACGCCCCTTCACTGTTCCCCGGCGTTTCTTGCGAATGGCACCTTGGAAAATCAAATGTTGATCCTGAATGGGGATCTAATAAGAAATGACTGTATTTGAAGTAATTTCCATATCATTACACTAGTACAAAACCCGCTCAAAAACACAAGACAATGATTTCACTATTTGTTCACTGTTCAATGTCCAACGTGAACACGTGACGCACTTTCCATTTTGTTTTTTTCGAGTGCATCCCCCGCTGTCAATCAAGTTGGCAGCCGGAATTGAATCGGTGGCCTGACATTCCAATTTCGTTCAAGAGGTAGCTCAACGCTCAATTTGAATGCAAGAGTTGTAGTCTGACAGTTAATGGCCAAGAGGTTCATGTGCACCCTTTCGCATGTAGTGCTTGAGAGTAAACCCACCCGGCTTGGCGACGAGGAATGAAAACAAGTATCGATACAATGTTGTTCATTGCAACTGCGATGGCGAATAGAAATTGATTAGCAATCATGCACATTGTTGATATTTGATAAACTAGTCTTTAATAGTTTCGTTTGGGAGCATCCGTTCTGAGATTCTTGACATCTTTGTTTTAGTTTTACAACGTATACTCAGAAACCACCGAGAAACACACATATCGACCCATAGTGGAGTTAGAGCCCGTAAAAAAAGCGCTACAAACCGAAGTCATGCGAACCAGGGCTAATCCAATATTATCGTCCGAATCGCACGGTTGAAAAACAAACATATTTTATTTATTTTTTACAGAACATAATTAATTAAAACTACAATATTGAAATATGAATATATCCTCGGTTTGAGGATCGACAGATTAACCTACTGCAAAATGTGATACAATAAACGACCGGGATTGTGTGCGTACTGGGCTAACATTAAATCACAGTCCCTCCACTGTGATTAAATTTGATGAATTTACTTGTGGGACGAATCGACTTTGGAACAACTGCTTATCAACACACGTGTAACACGACGCACGTGTAACGCGACGACCACAGCTTTTTAATATCTTGTGACGAATGCAGTAACTTGTGAAGTTTCAACTATATAGACAAATTTGTATATTTAGGAATATTAATGAGCTTATTCGGTGCTCTGCTCCCTTTTTTTGGGGGGGGGGGGGTCACGTCACATCCGGACCGTCACCAGACTAACGACAAATTCACACAGAAAATATATTTTTTTGTCAGTCATTGTATCAGTTTTTTGTGTGTGCGCCCTTGCCACATTAGTGATTTCATTTTTATCCATATTTTTGCAAACCCAGTGAACAGCTCTTTTCAAAAGAGAACCAGGCAAACAACATAATGCTCTCGGACGACGTGCTAACAATCGACAATTACTAAATAACAACGAATTTCATTGGCTTAGAAGCTTCCACCCACGCAGGATACGGGACAATGGTAGGTTATAGTATGTTTCAATTTAGCAGCGATAATTTACGCACTTTCACAGCTACTGCGCATGCACGTGATATGTGGCTCGTTGGTGGCGTTGTCGGTAAGGTTTTTCACACCATAACGGGAAATCTTGAGGAAAAAATACAAATAACGTATAAAGTAGCTGAATTGAACTGCTTAATCACGTGACCAGGAATTATTCTGTGCCATGACGCGCAATGCGTAAATAGGAGCTAAGATATCAAAAACGTATCACCAGAAATTTAAACTCACAAAAACGAAACCCTAATAACGGATAGCTGGAAAAATGTAAGTTTTTAGTTATTCGACAAGTCACTATACACTAACTGAAAGTTTCAGTGTGTTGTTGAAATTGTAATTTTATGCAGCGAAGACGTAACGCAGGTGTGCTTCTGGTTTCTGACGGTTGTGATGAAAATTAGAGAATCTGTTGACAGGGAAATTAGGTTGACCTGGCTTAGTACTCAAAAATAAAAATAAAACAGCAAGTGTATAAGTATAATAACACCACTGCGGTGCTTTCTTAAATTGTATACAATATGCCGAAGATATGGTGTCGCGTACTCTATGAGGCTTAGACAACGGTATTACGTGTAGTAAACTGAATGTGAAACTAATTAAAACAGAAATCATGATTTTTTATTCTATCAAGAAACTTTTAAAAACAAAACTTTCAGTATGATAATAATGCAATTACAGTGATTTACTCTATTAAGGAACCATTTTAACTAATGAACAGTTTTTTCAAATATTTTCACACTAAAAATGATTCGAAGTAATATATAGCAATTCTGCTACATGACTCTGAAGTATAGCAAATAGACTGTCTGGTGAGAAAAATAGTCTAGAACAAGTTTTCAAGCACTTGCATTGCTTCATCATCCGGGTCAGTAAGATGACTTGAATAATTGGAGTAAAGAGATAACTAGGGTGAAGTCCTATAAATATCAAGGCTTCAGTTGCACAAATTAGATACTGGCGTCGTTTCACTCAGCTCCTAAACAATAAAAGAAGCAATCAAAATGAATTTAAATTGTAAAATATTGGTGAAGGAGTTGTCACCTTAGACAATTTTTTTAATAGTATAAAAAGGTGGTCATTAACAAAGGTTTGACTGAATTAGATTTTGTGGATGGCACAGAATTCTGCGTCATTACCGATTGTCTGTCTTCATGACTTCTCTACATTACCATGGGAACGCGCATGCACACACTGACTCTTTCGTAGTGGCAGTCGTGGTATTTTTATTATAGTATTACTATGTCTGTGTCTTCAGGTCTCATGCCACTAATCAATTTAAATGCCTTGCAAGAACCAATGAAATTTTTTAAATATTGTTTTCTCATGTGCTCCCTGTTTGAGGGCGTGATCACCTGGGTCAAAGGTGAGACTAACATGTGGTCTTTTGTTTACTACTTAGCAGCTGTGTACCTGTGGGTTTACTCTGTGTGTATTTTGATGTCCTAATCTTGGTGTTTTTCCAGTGATTTCTCTAGGTGCAATCCAAATACAGTAGGTGTGTCTTGTTTACCTGAGATTTGCAAGAGTTTGAGCTGGCCAACAATAACAAGTGGTTGATTACTGGCATGTTGATTTCTCATTTTTGAGCCATGTTTTCAACTTTGCTTATCATTTTCCTATAGCAATCTCGTCATCTGTTAACATTGTCGTCTATGGAGTTTCAGTTAGTGGTATATGAGCCCTTCAAAATCTAGCCGCAAGGAACTCTGGGGGACTGGAGGCGAATGGGGTCAGAGGTCACTGGCCTGAGTGCGAGGCAACGAGGACGAGTGTGTATGTGAATCTGGTTCGAGGATCTATCCGGTCAGTTATTAATGTTGTTGAAATGGCTGGAAAAAATTATTTCAAAGTAGCTCACCCGTTTTGGATTGTCACGATTGGATTTGGAATTACACTGACGGGGGTAAGTCTAGTGTGTAGATGTAGTGGTCTGAGATTTCTGAATAATTTACAGTAGTTCTAAATCCAAATGTAGTAGGTGTTGTGGCAAATGACAGAAACTATAGAGATTGGGCAAACACGACATAGGTGTTTCCATGCATGCCCCATCGTCTGAGATGAAAACTGACCTTTGAACGCGCTGTTATGTGGCAATTCTGTAGTATAATTTAATCGAGAAGGCTTAATACTACAACGCTGTTTAATGTTAAATGTATAGACGGGGTAGACCCAGCGCCTGTGGGGTATACCCTTGAATATTGAATCACACACATTGAATTCGACCTGTATATCCTCTTCTCCAATATTGAAATATACAATTATTCTATTTTCGTCTGAGTTCATAATTGTAGTTTGCCAATGATTACACGATGTGGCCATAGATTACAAGGTCAACAAACTTTCATAAAGTGTAGGCAATGATGATTTTTTTTCTCCGAAAATATTGAAGGAACGTCAGTGAAATCTTTGCTGCAATACAAATATTTTGCAAATTATTCATGTAGAAAATTTTCTTTCACAAGTTTTAAGTAATGAGTACCTGAAATAAAATTGCTTTATTATGTGTGTTTATTAAAAAAGAATGTATACAATACAGTGTGTGGCACAAACCTGTACATTTATAAGTATTTGTAAATACCAGCCCTTGACTTTCATTCAAATTCATATGTAATTGTGATTGGCTCGTGAGTTCAGCATTGTCTACATCTATACTGCCCACACATGCCTTCTATCCTATATGGATGTACCGTAGTATCTGCAACCACCCGCTTATTTAAATTTTTGCTGATTTGATGATGTTGAACTCATTAATATTAATATATTCTTACTATGATGTCACAACACCATTGTTGGATTGGTTATTTTGAATTCCAACACCTATTTTTATATTTACGTTTGGTTATAAAGGTTATAACTATAATTGCAACATGAGCACAACAAATGCGGCACATGTCAGGGGAGGACGTCAAAGTTAATTTCAATTATCATGCACAAACATTGCACTGAATTGTTTTAATTTTTGCTTGCACTATGCAAACTTTCATTCAAGAGGGAGGAGGAGGGTTGAATTAAATTGGGGAGAGCTGGAGGGTAAGTGTAAAGCTAGAGTTAGGAGATACAAATTAAAGCGGGGGAGTCGTCACCTGCGCTTGCGTCAGGTGGTCATAGCGTGTTATTGTTTACAAACAAGCGTCTACCCATGAGCCTTTGCGTTCTTAGCGTGTGTTGTTATCGTCGCTTGGGACTCAATTCTTGTGCGTGCACAGGTGACGACCCTCCCGCTTTAACTCTTTTCCTTATCTTTACTATTATTACAGTACAAGAACGTGGTAATGCGTAAAGATAAAAAAATTCCAAATTTGCAGTTGGGGATAATTTGCAAAATTCATGCAGTCCTTCAAATATGATTTTTCAATTCATGGAATTTTTACCCATATGGATGCTTCCAATTTAACAAATTGCACAATTTCGAGCTGGAATAAACATTTACAATTGGATTCCTGTAAACCACTTGAACACCAAAAAGTATGTAATCCTTCCCTGTGTATGCCAGGACTCGACGGTGATGTTAATTTTAAAAAGCCACATACATTGCTGCAGCTTGAAACCTTGTGTTCAGGTCTGTCATGCAATAGTCTTTCAACTTTCCATAAGGCCAAAAAAAAAAATTGTTTTGTTGCCCTCAGCGACTGACCGAAAAATATGAAATATCGGGTCTCGTTTTTTTTTTTCGTTTTTTTTAATAGACCCAAATATTAAAGACTTGCCATTTTAAGCAGTAAAAAAAGTGTTTCCTCTAAAAATTAACGATCCCGGACCGTTGTTTTGTCCCCGGGGGATAAGTGGCAACTTTGAAACCTGGGTTGATCTGTATTTCTCTGACATGTTCCAAATACTATTAAGGCTATATACCTCGGCTATTTACGATACCCTTAGTTTTCACAAGTTTAAAAAAAAAAAAAAAAATCCGACCGACGACCCAATTTTTCAATTTTATGACTTGAGGGCAACATAAGTTGTTTGTTTTTTTGCCCTAATGTCATCATGATAAGAAGATGGTCACACAGACATGTCATGTAGTCCCAAACATGGACTTTGCTTTCTGAGCTGTTAATTAATTTTGTGATGCGAAGAAAAAAAGCCTGAAAAAACGGTTTCAAACATTGCATGTACATTCCTTATTTGGAAATAGTACCTCCTAATAAGATACGATGCAAAGAGACTACTGTGAATTTGATGTGCAACAGAATGTCATAGTACTGTAAAAGGATTAATTATTCACTGGGTTTTAATTTTCCTTATTTCGCTGACTGGAAAATGCGCTAAATTAAATGAATATGTAAAATTTTTATCATAGAACACATTATCTAAATGATAAAACTGTGAATTTAAAACCCACTGAATATGCCTGAAATGGTAAATCAGCGAAATTTAAATCCAGTGAAAATTACCGGTAGTCATTTTACAGTAAACATCATGTGTTATATTAGGCATATAATACTGTATTTGTTGTAATATATGCATCTCAAATAGAAGTGCATTAAAAATCACCTTTGTTGTATACTAACTATCTATAGTACCAAACGAAATGCCCCTTTTGATGGTTTTTTGTTAAGATAAAATTTGACCTTTACCCTAATTTTGATTACTCTTTTCAGTTTGCAGCATATAGACCAGATTTAGTGCCTTATCACTATCTTGGACCACTGGGGACATTGACAAAGTATCTCGTAGATAATCACAGCGTTGCATTGTCAAGAGGGTAAGTGTTGAAACCTTAAACACCATAAACTATTAAAGTAAACAGTCAGTGCAAGATGTGTGCTCAGGCTGTTCAACCCAAAACCTAAATTTGAATTCAAACTTGTGAAGACTGCAGGTTTGTATTCACTCGGAGCTGAGAAAATATTGTGTCTATGTGTGTTATTTAAGGCAGCTATGAGAGCATGCTGTTAGGATTTCAGATCTCTTCCTTCAACTGAAACGTATTTAAATCTAAAGATGGAAAAAATAGAGTCAATGTTTGTGTATTAAAATAATGTGCTTACCAGGTAATCTGTTTCTAGTTTCTAGTCACAGATAACTAAAACGTAAAAGGAGTTTTGGATTTTGTACTTTGAAATAGTTGATCTGAATCACAGGTATGCTTATCTGCGGGCAGGGATTTTGGTTTGGTTTCAACTGTGCTACTTAAAAACTAAACACACTATGCAAAACAAGACCATAGTTTTGCAGATAAACACACTAAAACATTGTGCGAAAGACAGATAACTTATCAGAGAAATAAATAAGCAGACTAAAAATAATTTGCATCTGCGAGTAAACCGGTGTAAAAGGAATATGATTTATCAATTATGTATTGTAATTTCAAAATCTTATTATCAGTAAACCACTATGAGCTATATGCATAGTGTTGCAATCTTTCTGTGGTTTTAATTTGAATTGCGTTTTGTTATCAGTGAAATAAGCAAAAATTAAAACGCAGTGAATAATTAGGAATTCTACAGTATGTTGGTTTCTTTGATCATAAAACTCTTGTATATTACAGTGTCGTACAGAAATGAGGTGCCACAATGTGAGAATGATCTTTTAATGATATGCAGTGCACTCTATTACCAAGAGAACCATGTACACCCACATTAAAAAATGTCTTTAATATTGTTTCTAACCTTTGTGTTCTCTACTTTGCCGTAGATTTCCTATAATATGGATAATTCATGGTGTAGAAGCTATTTTAACTTTGCCTGTGTGTAGGTAAGTCATAGAAGTCCTCAATCCTGTCTATCACATTGTATGGAAGAATGTTATTTTGTGAAGGATTATTTACATCAATAATATTATAAAACCTAATTTTGAGAAGATCCATGCCTACATACATTTGTGCGATATTTACTCTATTATTAAGGGTGTTCGTTGCATACACAGCAAAATTATTATTCTTAACACCAAACAGGGATTTTTCTAGAAAAAAACTGCAAGAGGGAGCACTGCAATTCAGCGGTGCCACCATGTCAGGGAGATATGGTTCTCCCTACCAGGGTGTGGAGTTTTTGACATTTCTAAGTTAAAATGGAACATTCTATGGCTTCCTTGGGGCCAAAATTACTATCAGACAGGTCACAGTTGAAGACTGTGGCCACATGTGATCCCTGATCATTCAGAATTTTATGGTTGCATGAGGGTGCTGCGCCTCTGTTCCCTTGTTTTAAAAAAAACTGCCAAACTTGTACTGATGTGTTATGGATTTAAAGTGTTTTGTTTTTTTAACTTTTAGCTGAAGGGCTTTTACATACATGTTTATTCTATGTATATATCTTTGTAAATATATTTTGTTTAATTCCCCTACTCAATATTGTTCCCAAACTTCATTCCTTAAAAAAACAGAATGTAAGCATTTTTTCATCACAACACTAATTGTGATTGCTGAATGATAGTTAAGTTTTGTTCCTGAAAGGAGGATAAATTTCAATGTAAAAATCATCAACTGATTCCCAGAGCACAAGAAGTACATAAACTGGCCACTAGAGGGTGCTGTACTGTGAGAGATATTTGTGTTTTGACTGCTATAAAATCCAGTGATTATACTTTTTTTCCTATATTTTACATTCAACTCATTAAAATCAGTGAAAATAAATTCCATATAATACACCCGAAAAACCTTTTAAGCAAAAAATTAATTCTAGCTATTTTACAGTATACACCAATGTTCACAAAAATGAACAATACAAAATTAAAAAGAGCTTTTATGCATACCATTTCTCAGGTAATCATAGTAAGACGAACCTGCACTGCTGTAAATTTTGTTGTTGTTACACTAACCTCAGATTAATAGAATACTTTGCACAAATCATGTAAAAGATGATGATTTCAAGTTTTCATCAATATAGAACTTTTCCATCATTGAACTTGGTGGTTATATTTCTCCCATGATGCATAGGCAGTAACATGCTCAGTAGTTGCTTAACATAAATTTGTCTTAAACTCAGTCACAATCAGATCCCTTACAGCAGACAGGACATTTTTCTAATCCCCTGCACCAAACAACCTAGATTATGTTTAAAATTATGCAATTTTTAAATAGAACTGGCATTTGCTGTTGGCAAAATAAAGCCTTGGTCTGTAGTGTGAAATATTTGTAACAATAGCCAACTACATGTAATTTAATGTCTTTGTACACAAGCAGTGAACAATTGTGTGAACAGATCAAATGTGCTATATCTCGCTTGTCATGTCTCTGTGTTAGGTCATCGATTGGCACGTTACAAATTTAACCAGAGAGAGTTACGATATACATGGCACAGCTGACCCAGAAGTGAACTTGTTTTTCGGTGAATCATTAAGAAAATGACAGAGATACAGATTGTAACCAAAAACAAAACACCAAACTAAAGGATAGTTTAACGAGCAGACATTTGATATCAAAATAATCCATGACGTGAAACAACTGACAAGTTAGGAGCTGAAATGAAAATTGTTTGTCACTGTAAATGTGTGAGATTGTTTGTATAAGAACAAACGCAAATGGGGATGCCGTCGGGACGAGTTCTGTAATGTCCCATAATGCATTGCTATATGCTCAATAACATGCTCAACATTAATTTGGCTTGAAACCATGCATTGTTATAAGCAACATTTTTATCTCCGCTGTAATTTTTTATGACACAGCGAAGATGTTCATATTACTGATTGTCTGCCCGTCTGTCCATTTTTCCATCCATGCCTTTTCATCTTCTGCTTGAAAATATGTAGTCTGAGAGCTTTGATGTTCAGTATACAAGTACTTTGGGTGGTAAACTCCTAGATTTATCCATTTCGTGACAATATTTCATATTGTATTTTTTGTCAAACTGCTTCTCCAAATCTGCCACTCAGAATGATTTCAAATTTAGTGTATAGGTGATTTTAGGTGGTTTTCTCTCAGATTTGTTCTTTCGGTCGATATCTCAAATTTTGTATTTTTTGGGTAATTTTTGCCCAAAACTGATATTTTTGACTTCTTTTCCATATCGGTTACTCAGAATAGTTTTGGTATACAAGGACCTTGGGTGGTCCTTGATTGCTTCGATACTTGGTACCTATGTAGGAACCTTTGGTGGAATGCTATGAACTTTTTAACAAGATGATAAGTCTTGCAATTGCCGAACAAACTACCTTGATTGTGATATGCCGAAAACATTGTGGTAACAGTAGCCAAGAAAAATAGTTAATATTTCATTGTACAAAACATCATTAACTTCGTTTTGAGGAAGATAGACCCCAATTACAGCTTATAATCTGTTTTTTATTATATATGCATGATGATTTCCCTAGATTTGCAAAATAAATTAATATATGATTTACCTTTTTTTTCATGAGAACAGAACAAATTTTTATCTTCTTCGACATTATACATTAATTAACTTTGTTTACTTTTGTTTACAGTATGAAGGGCATCGGCGGCTCTGCTCGTATTAAATGGTTTCTACAAACATTCGCATTAGGAATTGCTTCATTCTATAATTTACTTGTATACCACCCACGAAAACTGAAGTAATTGAAAAAAATTTTATATAAAATATATACAAGCATAATAAAGTTTATGGATTTTCATAAATTGGTCTCGTATTTATTTCATTAATGTATTATTATGACATGCTCTGCACAAAAAATTGATCAAGTAACTTTTTCCCCAAACAGGATTCACTGGATCAGGAGACAATCACTCAATATTGAGACATTTATTGAGAGAGAATTGAATTGAGAATTGTTCAAGTTACGGACATCGAGTTATGGACATCGAGTCAGAAAACATTGAGTCTGCCCACTTTTGGAAAATCACTTCCACTTTTGCAAAACCACGCCCAAATTGTAACTCGATGTTCAATTAACAATTAATAGTGCCAAAGTGGTTTCCCAAAGTGGGCGTGGTTTCTGAAATATGGGCATGGTCATTTGTGTAACTATGTTTTCGTAACTCGGTGTTCGTAACTCAGTGTCCATAACTCAAACAATTCTGCATCTCTTTTTGACAACCCAAGAATGCACAATTTATAAGGTCTGTGTACATTAAGAAAATAATTGACCAAAAATCTCCTGATTGGGAAATATTCTAATATTTTAACCTAATGTGTTCACACCTATGTAAATATTTTTGGTTCTTATGAAATAAGTGTGGGTTATTTTGAGTTGTGAACTTTGCTCGGCTGCAGAGCTGACGTGTAGGCGTGAGTGGCGCCTTTTCCGGCCGAACGTCATCAGACCTCACTGTGACTGGTTTGAGGGACTGTGGAGGGAGCAACTCAGACGACCTTGTCAGGCTAAATAGTAGCCAGTACCGAAAAAACTTTTTCCTCTCACTCGAACCACATCGTCCGTATCGCACAGTTTGTTCGTGCCGACTTATAGTTTGAAGGGGTGACCCGAAACAAACGTTCCTTGGCGAGAGAAGATGCCTGAACCAAAGACACTAGGAAATATTTTCTAGTGTCTTTGCTCGAACAAGAACAAGTGGTGGTGAATAAACATTGCATTGTCTTGAGTTTATCTTTGAAACTTACTAGTATGCGCACATAGATCAAACATGTACTGTTTATTTTTGCAGATACTATTTGCCTTGTCTGTCCTCAGAAATGCTGAATTTTAACCAACTTACGTGACATTATATGTTATTTCAACTTCAGCATATGAAAGTTGATATCACTCTCCATCAATTAAAAAAAATTTTAAAAACCTAATTTTCAATGCGAATAATACTCTTGCTACCTTAATCGCGATTTATGGCAATATAATAACATGTTCTATGACGTAAATCAATCTAAAAATGGGTGATGGTTGTTCAGATTTCATGTAGACACTGTTTCACGCGTGTGGCACGTGGCGTGGGACCCATATCAAACGCTGTGCGATTAATAACACCATTTAATTGCGTGCAATCTGGTTATTATAGGTTATAGTTAAAAATCAGTTTATAGAAAGCTAGGAATGTCCATGGACAAACGTCAGGGTCTTGTCGTTTTTAATCTATCGCCTAGCTTAAGAAGGAAGATGTACAACGGCGATTTGAAGGAAGGATCAGTGGATCAGGGGATTATCATGATTTCAACAGCTTGCTGCTGACTCGCACTGTTCATCACATCTGCTGATTCCAGTCCTGAATTTAGATGCCGGTTAACTCAGTATTCGTCGATATAACGAAAACTACTCTTCTTTCCCGTAGTTCTCTGCATTATTTCATATAGAGCCATACTTAGTGCATCATCGCCACCCTTGTCACCATAGAAACCATATTGAAGAAGATGTGCAACTTGGCGTAGTTTATCCTGCATCTTTTCGATGCGTTCTTTTGGAACTTTTGCTAAGTAATCAACTATGCTTGTGTTTGTAGTTTCCAGTTCGTTTTTGTCAACAAAAAGGGAAAATTCGTCATAATTGATTCTGTCTTCGAAAGGATATATAACGTCTTTTAGGAATCGCACAGGAATACATCCACTGAGAACTGAATCGTAGAATGACTTTCGGGTGGGACTATCTCCCCAAGGCTGAAAAATGAAATATTCCAATTAATTTAGTAGAAAAATCGCGCAAGACATATTCAGATATTGTATTCTAGTAATTAAACTAGTGTCCTCTATATCGTAATACGTGTTGCTTTTGTATGATTTATTCATTAATGTGAAAATAACTCAAATATGCTGAATCAATGTCGTACAGTTTCTCTGTTTGCGATGATCTCAACCCCTCTCAAATGTGGAAACCCGTATATAAAGACACCACATCACATGCAACACTGTGAGATGCTGTATAAACAGCCATGCGTGACAATCATACCTGTAAACAGAAGACTGACTGTTGCATGAAGTCAATAACTTTACGGGACGTTTCCTCCATACACTCCCTTGTGTGAAAGTATACTCCCCTGTGTCGACCCGTTGCATTTTCCTCTTTCTGGAGGTCTTGTCGGAGCTTAACTCGGAAGCTTTGCGTACGTCGCACACCTGCACACATCAAGACCAAAATACTCCGCGATACGTTGAAACGCGGAACAGCGTCCTCTGTGGTGAAGTGTGCATAACTTGGATACGGGACAACGATTACTTCGTCTTCGTGACCATCTCGTTTAAACGCCACCCTCGATCGGCGACGCTGCTCCTGTTCAATCATCAGATACAGAATATGTTTCGAATGAGCACTGCGAAGTAAAGGACATCCACTAGAGCAGTGTTCTCGTTCAATTTTGCCCAAAGCCATGAAATGGGGCTTGGTTTTGATGAACGGTAAATTAAGCGAATATTCCCAGAACTTATTGTTCAAATCTCCAGCTGTTACGCCAGGCGTGTAACGATCGTGGCAGAAACACTTTAACCCAGCGTAGTATGGCAAATAAAACAAATCAGCATCGGACGCATTCAGCGTTCTTTGAGTGCTGTTTAGCAGTTTGTGGTGAATTATAGGTTCCAGTGCGAACTGGTGTGTGAAGTGGTAGCTTATGTTATTGTCGGTCCATAGCATTTTTCCAAAACCACCATCCTGTAAGTGTATGCATTCCCCGCGAACTTTAGTATGTACACAGTCCAGAATATCCTCGTTAAATGCAGCCGGCATGTCATAAACATATATTTTAGCCCCGCTCGTTTGTATGCGCGACAAGCTCCGGGTCGTCACTGGATCATTCGAACGTTTTCGGTATATGTTAGTATCGTGTTTTATAGTGTTTCTAGCTGGGGGAAACTTGCGTCGGGGTCTCGGAAATTTCACTGCAAGTCCATTTCCAAGTTTTATAAACCTGAATAAGAAGGAAAATAGGAAGAAAAAAAGATTCAAAGAATGTTGAGTGCATGTGTGCTTAATAGTGTACTCCATGTTGATGAACACACTGGAATATGATTTTATCGTAATATAAACCGAACACAAAGCACACAAAATAGTGAAAAAATGAAATGGACTAATACACATGCGCATTGCTATCGCATCTGTACGTACCAACAAAAATCGGCGCAGACGCACATGAGTTTTAATTGTTTCATCGATCGAATATATAAGTTGTGTTCACGGTGACTCATAATTCCATGCTTTATTCGTCATCAACAGGTAGTATCAATGAACATTATTAGAAATTACATATTCTCATCTACATTGTATATTTGAGTAGACAAATTAATCGGCGACGGGATTTTAATCGAGCAACGATGGAAAATTACATGTCTCGCGAGATCTCATTAACCAACTCCAAGTATACTGTTCACATTTACCTTGATTGGCCAAATTTATCGCGATGCCGGCTACTGACATGCCTCCTCTGCGAACCATATATAAGAAGAATATTAGTAAACACACCAATGCCACAGAGGATAATTATCCCAAGGACCCATAGTTTGAGTTTCCGTTTGCGCATCCTGTATGCATACACAAGAAAAAAGACCATGCAACTTCAGCAATTAGACAAAGAAACAAGATACACATAGTATTTCATGATTCAGTTCACGTCACATTCCCTGTTTTTTTATTTTAATTGTGCTTTTAATGGTGGTTGTATATTGATATATCTGAATGAGCACTTAGAACTATTATAAATTACGGGGACATTAAGAACATGTAAACACGCGACGGATTTCGAACTCCCGATCACAGCAAATGCGCCTCGTCGGTTTGAGTAAACGAGAACCACTCTTACACCAGAATAACCGTTTACCCTCTAAAGTTATGTCTAAAGTACCCACAAGTTGTCGAATACCTAATATATATTATTATTGTTATTACTGATTACAATTTTTTGAGCTATTTGTCTTTTTAGTGTTTTACCTTTGAGTCTTTGTAACATACTGTTTACAAAAATGTTTACGCCACACACGTCTGCATTCTTGTGTGTCTCTATTAGAAACTTATAAACGTACCATCGGGGATCCATTTGATTGGATGAGTATAAACGAATTCAAGCACTGTGAATATTACGGCTGATACTTGCAACGGAGTGTTTTCGCAAGTGCCATGATTATTATAAACGTACCAAGTGGAAGGCAGAATATGTCAATTCATTGAAAACATTATTACAATCGGTTGAAATTCTATAAAATTGTCTATAAAATCAAATTTCAGCTATGGTAAGAATTTTACGATTTACGGTCATTATTGACAGCAAACGTATCTCTGTGGACTCGATATCGAACCTATTAGCGCATATATAACACCCAACGTGTGGCATATGTGTAGAATTACAATATGGAAACTTAATGGTTTGACACTAGCAGTTGCACTATCCATCAGAGACCACATTACGCAGGATCGAACGATATTAGCGGTCATCATCAATGTCACACATATCCAATTACAATTAAGCTGCCCCTAGATAGATATGGCCACAATTGCCACTAAAGTCAAAGTAGAATTAAAATCTGTTTTTATGTACGTGTAATCACAAGTCAGCAAATTCAAATATTAAATTAAATAATATAATTTCGTCTGTTTGAGTATGCTAAACATACGGCTAGACTGAACTAAAACACTAGATATATGGAGTAATCTTATAATACGTATTGACTTTACTCTCCGGGGGTCGCGTACGTGACTCGCGTAAGTGTAGTTTACACGCGCTGCATCACAGTCGCCGGTCTCGGCGGATTCTTACGCCATGATGAAGACTGAGCTTTATTCAACCGATACTTTCGAGCAAGGCGAACAATGATTATTCAGAATGATGGTTAAAATAATATTATACATATATAAATAGTTTCGTATTTATCGTACACGCGTCGACGTCCTCTACCCCAACCCCTCAGAAATTATTTCTTTTCGCATTTCTCAAGTGGACAAGTAAGGTTTGTGTGTATGGATATTATATGAGTCAGTATGGTCAACCTTAGAGGCGCGATAATGCAAATTATACTGACTTTATACTATGACAAATCTGTGCTGAAATTAGGTTGATTCGATTTATCAGAAGTGTAGTTATATTAATTAATTTTGTTTTTCTGATTTTGTATGTAATTGCTTCATTATATGCGAGTATTTAACTATAAAATAGAGACCAAGTATATGTGAGTTCATTTGAACGTTACTTCGTCTGAAACTTCCCTTTATAATTACATGCCTAAGATTTTAATTTTTGTTATCATACCCGGGCCATCAATGAGTTAACATGTAACGATGATATCACTGCCGCCCGTACGTGCATGGAGCACAGTTACTTTCCATACATCTACACAGACAACCGTGCCTGAGGCTAAAACACAACATACGTAGATGGAGATACTGATGGCGAAGTGCAATTTCCTGCGTGTGTGTGTGTGCTACTAGTATCTGATATCTTGAAGTAAAACGAAGCCAGAAAAGCGAATCAACTTGGCACATTGTACAGATTTGGACTGAACAAAATGTCTCAGTGATTATTTTTCTGCGATATTGAATAATATAATGATCCATGCTTATTGCAATCCGGTGTGTATTTGTCGGGTATTTTTTACGAAGGGCCCACGGTAAAACATACGTCTAACACTGCATCAAATTTTAATACTGACTCGGTGAATGATCAGCCTGTTGCGACCTACTTCAATACAAGCAAAACGTTTCTACTTAATGATCTATATCAGAGGACAGAAAACCGCTCGAATCCTCGTTTCTGTACGTATTGGTTTCAGCTTTGATGTCGTCTCTTTGCCGTGTTAGATTGTATTACAGTAAACACATTATGTCTAATAATTATTACGCCGAATAAAGCATACGAAGAGGAGTACGCTATATCCATGTTTCCTTATATATCAAGTCAATATAATATAATTTTTAACTAATTAGTTTCTTGATTACAAATCACAGAATTTCAAAGACCGCCGGAAGACGTTTGCGACGAATAAAACGCGCGATACCGCCTTATCGACAGAAGAAGACTTTTTTAATAAGTCCGAGAAGACGAAGACGTGCATATTAATAATTGTTAATAACAAAGTTATAATAACGGTAACAGTGGTGTATTCCTGTTGATGTGTTGTATAATGTTTTTGTTTAAATATAATATTATAGAGATATTACCTGGATGATCGAACTGAGTCGTCTCTTCGTTGCCAAGCTGCGCCGGGTCTTGGTCTCGACTATCTAATTACATACATATTGTTAGAAAAAACCCTATACGTGTAACACCCTCTGCTATAGTAGTGCTTGAAATGACGGCTAAATTATATGTGACGGAATGAGGCGGCACAAACAAACTATTTGGACAATGGGAATCTATTGTACGAGCGTGAAGTTAGGGAAGGATTCATGTTGGATTCACGTCCCATTCGCGTCTGATTCGGGACACGTGAACGACATATCTGTTTTACACAGGTCACAATTTATTTAGATATCGGTTGCTTAGAAAATGAAACTGCACAGTATCATAACTGATGTTGGAGATTATTATTTTAACTTATACACTCACTCTTGTGACTCATAGATCACATCTGAGTTCAATGTCAATCTGAAGTACATCAAGTGAATTAGGTGCGGTAGAAATGTTATGTAGCATAATTATGTACCTCCATGGTAGCATGAATAATATAAACTATATTTGTTATGTACTGAGAGTTTCGTTGTTTAGTTTGTAAATCAAATGTCACGATGATGCGACCCCCCCCCCCCAATGAATCTGACACAAATCGGAATCTTTACTCTTTTTAGATTGCCGACCAATACAGGTTTGTAATTCTTATCAGCGCGGCGATTCCATCTTATACCGATAACAAATATTCACTACAAATCAACATCTGAATTTTGTAATCCGCAGATTCAAACTACATTGTAACTAAAATTAATTAACATTTCCAGGCCAGAATAAATGTGGATATTATTAGTTTGCCGAAACAAATGAAATAAAAAACGATCTCAGGTCAAGATTTTTTCTGCAATTATTTCAACTGTGTATTCTTGTAGCCAATCGGGAATGAGACATATGCCAACCACGTGACGTTAATTGGCTCATTACGAATGTCCACAAACAGTTAAAAATATCGCTTTCATTTTAATTTACGTATCCCCACCTCCAACGATAGTTTACATGTCAACAAGTACCGGTAATTGAACTATAATAGTATTTCATTTACAGTTAACGCTGCGTAAAGTAAAACTTCACCTTTGTATTTTAGAAATATTAAGCAACGTGCATTTCCGTGAATAATATTTTTCTTGTGTGTCAAGCAATCTATATATGTGACGTATTGTATGTTTCACTGACAGGTCTGTACCAATGTCCCTTGCCAATATTATGTCGTAACCATCGCAGGTTAGAACTCTGGCTTTAGTGTATCCGATCGAATAAATGGGCACGATGCACGCTTGCGCACAAATGGCAGGTGGTGCGCTTCTAAATTACTAATAATTGGGTATACTAAAGCCCATTTGCGTCAACAGTCAACAATGACTGTAACGGTAATGATACGTAGTAAATGAGCTGATTTGTTATACTGAACTAAAATAACGCATTGGGCAAAGATAAACATCTCAACTGTCTTTATGACGTGTAGCCATCTTGCAAATCTATGCATATTAATTAATCTAATTTGCATATTGAATAGCTAGTTTTGACATGGAACGGAATTCGATACACAGATTACGGAATACATAATTGTTCGGCCAAACGTAAATTGCGACAACCTTAACGAAATATGCATATTTAATTAACGTAAATTTCAAAACGGCCCACTCACATACGAGTGAAAACGTATTAGCATTACTAAAACCACAACTAGAAAAAACGGGTGTATACTAAGTATCACGTGTCATTAAAAAGCGGATTTCGACTGACGATATGCCAATTTTAATCACGTTTTGATTATCAAACGTCCTTTATGTCTTCTGAACTGGTGAAATTTGATCAAACGTCTAGTTGATTAATCATACCTCGGGAACTAAGTATTTGAGTGAATTTCAATCAATGTTCTATTGAATTATCAAGGGTATTAAAATCGACTTTAATCTTATTAAATACAGTTGTAAAGGGTTGGAATGTTAAAGTTTACATTGCTTCGAAGTTGAGGGATTGTGAGTACATATAAGATATTCATCACTCGATAATAACATTTGGGAGGGGGGCTACCATAATACTAGTAGTTATCTCGGCATTGGTAATGTCCGATCTGTATCTGAATTAACTGACTTCCGCAAGTGGCAGTTGAAGGACGGCTTCGTATACGAGGCCGTTAATTATTGGGTATGGGGACGCTTACCGAATTAAACTCTATCGTTTTAATACTCCAATACTTGCATACAGTCTCTTGCTTTTTTGACTTCCGTGTGCAAGGCCCAAAATGGGAGTCCTTGAAGATGGCCCGTCTGCATGTCCGCCTGTTTCTGTTGGTTTTTAATGAACCTTGATGCATAGATGCTCTAAGCTAATGCGCAAATTTGATTAGGTTTTGCTTTAAATCCATGCATATTAATTTGCAAGATAATTAGTTATTTTTTAGCTGTTCCATGACTGTTTCACTGATATCTAAAGAACCACTCATTGGATTATGATGAAACTTGGGACATAGATGCTCTAGAACTACACACAGACCTGATTAGTTTTGAATACAAATCTGTGAATATTATCTACTGATGGTCTGTGACATTGCGCAAACCTTTTTACATTAAAATCTGTGTATATTAATTACATGATTTGCATAATAATTAGTCAGTTTTAAGCTTTTCTATCAATATCTCAATAACTTATTTCAATGAATCTTGGTACATACGTACTCTAAGACAATGCAATGATCTAATTAGTTTTGGATTTATATACATCCATAATAATTACCTAATTTGCATAATAATTTACTTATTGACTTTCCCTCGATTTTCAAAGAAATAATCATCACATTATAATGAAACTTGGTAAACATGTGCCCTGAAACAATACACAGACCTAATTAGTTTAAATTGAAATCTATGCGTAATATTTTTTATATAATAATCACAATTTTTTTCAAAAAAACAATTCAAAAAACCAATTATTGCATTTCATGTATACAAGTGCCTGGAAATAAGCTTTAGTTTTGAATTGAAATCCGAGCATACTAATTGCCAAATTTGCACAATCATCACATTTCATTGAAATTTTGTTCACAGATGCTCTAGAGTTCAATAATAATGCATATTGATTATCTAATTATTATTATGAGCCAATTTCTCGAAAAATCAGATTTAAATTGAACTTGTGGTAGATGCTCTGGAATAACACTGAAAACCACACATGTAAAATCAAATGTATATTCTGTAAGTAATATAAAGTTCAATATATGGATCACATTGTTTTCACGATGTATCGGTACATCTCAAATAGCAGACAAATATTAGTTGTCAAGCTTTATTTTTTGGAAGGCAAATTAAATTTTAATAAGTCTCCGATACTCTCAGCACACAAGACTTATTTCTAAGCTTTCTTTGATTCTTTGTTTGGTGTTTTTCAATTTAAAAATATGTCAAGCAATTTTCTATGGTAAAAAGGTTGAATCATATTTCAGAATTTTGTTTGGGTTCATATAGTGATAAAATAATATGTAGTTATAGGACAGGTTCTTATGTTTCTCCTTAACTAATGGGGAAATTCTGACGAAAACTATTTTTTTATGGAATAGTTATAAAACATTACATTTTTGTATGTTTTGAAACTGGTTTTCTCTAAAGAGATACTTTGCACTAGGTAAAAAATCCTAAAAGTCGATGACTGTCGGAATCAATAATTATGTAATTTTTTGAATACATGTAACACATTTTCAACGTTATTTTACTATTAAAAGTTCAACAAATCTTTTTCTTTGATCTCACTACTTCTGAGCGATGTCATTTCTTCTCTCACTACGTTAACTTGCTTGCTATTTGGACCCCGCGTATAGTAACGAATCCCTGTAATTCTGTGTGGTACACAGTATACGACACATCCTGGAACAGCACGAGGATTTGTGATCCGCGACGCCGAATTCTCTCATACAAGTGTCATTTTTGCAATGTCAGATATCCTACAACTTCCTAGAACCAAAATTCCCATGCACCACAGGTCATACTATTATTGTCCTCACAGCTTTATCAATGACTAATTGACAAGTCATCTGATATTGCAATGTTGCATGGGTTGTCAGTTTTCTGTTTTCGAAGCCTACTGTACCAAAATGCAATAGAGACACTTGGTCAGCCAGAGAACTAATTTAGATCAATTTTCAGTTGAACTGTAAAATCCTGGATCACTGACTCTCAGACTTGACAGGGTTGCTCAATAACCTCTAGGTACCTGTGTTTGGATACATGGTGGTTCCCCTAGGCCCTGCCATATTCCAAATTCTATTAGCAGAATGTTTGAATTACTGGCAAATTACTCAGTTTTCTCACACCGACATATCATCTTACTGCATTGCCAGAATTTCAAATGGTGTAAATCTGTACTTAAAACGATATATTGTACTACATTTATCCAAATAAACAATTAGCTTAAAAAATACATTTATTTAAATTCCACCTGACAAGCCATAAGACTAACTCAGAAGTTATTGATTATTTCAAGATTTCAAAGGAAATAAAAGCAATAAATGTTCTCGTCATGTACATTATAAGTATTTGATATCAAGAAAAACATGAAAAAAGCAAATAACCAAAGAATACAGTGTTGTTGAGTGAATCATCTTCAATGCATATACAAACAATAACTTGATAATAATGAAATGACACAAACTATTTAGTATTTAGCATTGATGTATCTAAGGTAACGGTATGATAAACCACCTGGAGGATGAAACAATCTATGCCTATGGTTGTTGCTACAATGAGAAACAACTCTTAGAGAAAATTGTCAATAAGGGACACACATATATCAATTATAGGTTAGAGTTACTCTGGCTAGGTTACTGAAAACTGGATGTGTCAAATACAGTTTCATCTTTGGTTTAATTGATTAATAACTTGATGTGATCTTGATGATGGAAGTGCTCAACTTAAAAATTCAATACTAGAACCAGTAAATTGCAAAACAAAATCTATAAATAAAATGTATGAGTGTCTTAGATATAAAATAAACATCACAAAACGAAATGACTTCTGGTCAACCATATTACCTAAGATTGGCTAATGGATAAAACAATACTGAACTTGTATAAGGAATGGGTAATGATCATAGTGGAAAACGACCATGGAGGATCCAATGCAACAAATTGAATAAAAATTCTTTTGATCTTTGCCAAGACTGTCTTATTACAATTATGTATTCTACAATTACTTCTTTCCTTTTGTCTTTGAATAAACAAGTTCTTTGAAGTCACGAAGAATCTGCCCTTCCCTTTTAGTTCTCTCGTCTTTGTTGAATGAAGCTAGTGCCCTTTTTTCATCAGCACTGTAAATCTGGTTTTCTTTACGGATACGCACAGCTTCCATACGACGATGCCTGAAAAGAAAAAGAGTTAAAGTTATACATGTGTAACAATTTAAATTTCTGAAACAAATTTACCGTAATTAACACACCGCCTGCTCAAATCATCACAGACGTACCAAAATCAAGAGGAAAAAAAGGTGATGTGTTAAAAATGCTACTATTAAAACATTTAGTTTATGTGTGTGATTGGATGATTGGTTTGTAAATATATCGTTACTTTGTTAATAAAGCTCTACAAACATGCATAAGTTCATCTACAAGTACCACTGAATGCAGAACTCTTTCATAAAGTGCCAACCCTTTTTTGTCATTTCATTATACCGTAGTCAAAAGGGCCTCTGTGTATGACCATTATTCAGTAATCCTGATTTGGTGTTACCGGGTACTCCATGCAAAAGTGTGCTGCAACTCTCTGATATCATAGGACAAATAACTTGGGATGGTTAAAGTAATGTACAAAGCAGATAACCATTTTATTATACACAGATTATAGTTTTACTATTTGAACTTA